ATTATCCACTGACTCAGAGCCCATCTCTATCAAGCCCTGTCAAGCTGAGTACAACACATTTCCATCCAATTCTGGAGGAAATTCAAGTGTCTCATTAGTTTTAAAATGATGTCTCCTTTATTATAAATATGTCCATTTTCCATCATATCCTTGTATGAGGCAGGTGCTACTCTAATCAGAACTGTAGCCTTTTGTTTCTGGGTCTCAGGCAGTCTCCTTTGTATGCACCATATCGTTTTACCAAAAATGTCTTACAGGATGTTTCCTGAATCAGGCAAAGTATTTGTTTTACAGAATGTTAGCAGTTTATTTTCATGCAAGAATTTACGGATGTTCACCTCTTTATTGATTTTGGGAAATCTTGAAGATAATTTGCTTCCCATTAACAGTTCTCCAGGTGAAACATGCTGATGTCACTAGACTGTGAGCCATATAAACCCAAGTATGTTTGTGTTACTGCCTAATAGTGGAGTTTTTTAGCAGGCCTTGGAGAATCAGTACCCCAGAGCCCCTTTTCTGCTTTTCTATTTGCTTGGTGATGAAATGGACTTATAATAATTTGATTTCATATGCTGATGTAAATATTTTATGTTAATGAATGGAATAATGTGGACTATTGTCCAAGATTATGATTGCTAGGGTTGCAGTTTTGGTGAATAGCTTTCATGTGAATTAATGCAATACTTGATTTGTGCTTGACAGCATGACAATCCTCTGGAAAGCTAGAATAATTATGAACAATAAATACAGTAGCCCTTTCCATTGCAAAGTAATAAATGAGAACCAGCCTTTTTCAGTGCAAAGGTGGATATTGTTTCTGTCACAGTTAGCTCCTGTGGTTTATTGCAGTAATATTTAAGACATACTGACATTTCTTGTTTTCTGCTCATTGTCTTTATTCATATTTGGTTAATTAACAGCTTCACACTGTATTAGATTATTCAGTGTCCTTGATAAAGCTTTAGGATTTAATTTAGAAAAGGAACTCGTAAAATGATTGTCTGCCCTCAATAACATTGTTCCAACAAATGCTATTCATCCTGCAATGGATGGTACTACCTACATAAGCTACTAAGCCACCTATACTGGAAAATTTAGGTCATCAGTATAGCACTGGTCATTCTGCTGTTTCTGCTTTGCTTCCATTGCATGCTGTATACCAGGGGTCAGCAACGTTTGGCACGCGGCTCGCCAGGGTAAGCACCCCGGCGGGCCAGGCCAGATTTATTTACCTGCTGACGCGGCAGGTTCGGCCGATCGCAGCCCCCACTGACCGCGGTTCGCTGTCCCGGGCCAATGGGGGCGGCGAGAAGCGGCGCGGACGAGCGATGTGCTGGCCGCGGCTTCTCACCGCCCCCATTGGCCCGGGACGGCGAACCGCGGCCAGTGGGGGCCACGATCGGCCGAACCTGCCGCGTCAGCAGGTAAATAAAACTGTCCGGCCCGCCAGGGTGCTTACCCTGGCGAGCTGCGTGCCAAACGTTGCTGACCCCTGCCGTATACCAAATTAAATAAAAACACCTTTTACAGGCTCAGTCACCTAATATGGTTTTCTGTCTGGCACTAAAACAACAACAAGAAGATATTTACATATTGAGGATACAAATAATTTATACACTTCTGTTTTCCAAATGAGTGGTCATTAGTTAAGCACTGGAACAAATTACCTAGGGAGGCTGTGGAATCTCTGTCACTGGAGGTTTTTAAGAACAGCTTAGACAAAAATCTGTCAGGGATGGTCTAGATAATACTTAGTCCTGCCATGAGTGCAGGGAATTGGACTAGATGACCTCTCGAGGTCCCTTCCAGCCTTACATTTCTATGATTCTATGATTATGGGCCTGATTCAAAGCCTTTTAGATTAGACCCTATATGCCTGAGGCCTTCTTTTTTTTTTTTTTTTTTTTTTTTTAAGAACCTTCGGCTCAGAGTACTTCAAACTCTGAAAGCCATAAATCATGGTTGTCACCTTTTCAAGTCTATGTCTATGCAAGTATGTCTAGTAGTGGCACCTCATGGTCAGCTCTTAGTGCCAATATTGTCACAAGTAGTTAATCTCCTACCCTGTGTATACTTATTGGCGCATTCTGGTCAGTTCCTCAAAACCAACACATCTAGTGACCTCCGCAACACATATCTATCTCAGATAACTCAGATCATTTCTCTCTCATTTGAGCATAGAATCACAGAATCATAGAATCATAGAATATCAGGGTTGGAAGGGACCTCAGGAGGTCATCTAGTCCAATCCCCTGCTCAAAGCAGGACCAATTCCCAACTAAATCATTCCAGCCAGGGCTTTGTCAAGCCGGACCTTAAAAACCTCCAAGGAAGGAGATTCCTCACCTCCCTAGGTAACGCATTCCAGTGCTTCACCACCCTCCTAGTGAAATAGTGTTTCCTAATATCCAACCTAGACCTCCCACACTGCAACTTGAGACCATTGCTCCTTGTTCTGTCATCTGCCACCACTGAGAACAGCCGAGCTCCATCCTCTTTGGAACCCCCCTTCAGGTAGTTGAAAGCACCTATCAAATCCCCCCTCATTCTTCTCTTCTGGAGACTAAACAATCCCAGTTCCCTCAGCCTCTCCTCATAAGTCATGTGCTCCAGACCCCTAATCATTTTTGTTGCCCTCCGCTGGACCCTTTCCAATTTTTCCACATCCTTCTTGTAGTGTGGGGCCCAAAACTGGACACAGTACTCCAGATGAGGCCTCACCAATGTCGAATAAAGGGGAACGATCACGTTCCTCGATCTGCTGGCAATGCCCCTACTTATACAGCCCAAAATTGCCCACTGTTGACTCATATCCAGCTTCTTGTCCACTGTGACCCCTAGGTCCTTTTCTGCAGAACTGCTACCTAGCCATTCGGTCCCTAGTCTATAGCAGTGCATAGGATTCTTCCGTCCTAAGTGCAGGACTCTGCACTTGTCCTTGTTGAACCTCATCAGGTTTTTTTTGGACCAATCCTCTAATTTGTCTAGGTCCCTCTGTATCCGATCCCTACCCTCCAGTGTATCTACCACGCCTCCCAGTTTAGTGTCATCTGCAAACTTGCTGAGAGTGCAGACCACACCATCCTCCAGATCATTAATAAAGATATTAAACAAAACCGGCCCCAGGACCGACCCCTGGGGCACTCCGCTTGAAACCGGCTGCCAACTAGACATGGAGCCATTGATCACTACCCGTTGAGCCCGACGATCTAGCCAGCTTTCTATCCACCTTACAGTCCATTCATCCAGCCCATACTTCTTTAACTTGGCGGCAAGAATACTGTGGGAGACCGTATCAAAAGCTTTGCTAAAGTCAAGGAATAACACATCCACTGCTTTCCCCTCATCCACAGAGCCAGTTATCTCATCATAGAAGGCAATTAGGTTAGTCAGGCATGACTTCCCCTTGGTGAATCCATGCTGACTATTCCTGATCACTTTCCTCTCCTCTAAGTGTTTCATAATTGATTCCTTGAGGACCTGCTCCATGATTTTTCCAGGGACTGAGGTGAGACTGATTGGCCTGTAGTTCCCCGGATCCTCCTTCTTCCCTTTTTTAAAGATGGGCACTACATTAGCCTTTTTCCAGTCATCCGGGACCTCCCCCAATCGCCATGAGTTTTCAAAGATGATGGCCAATGGCTCCGCAATCACATCTGCCAACTCCTTTAGCACCCTCGGATGCAGCGCATCCGGCCCCATGGATTTGTGCTCATCCAGTTTTTCTAAATAGTCCCAAACCACTTCTTTCTCCACGGAGGGCTGGTCACCTCCTCCCCATACTGTGCTGCCCAGTCCAGCAGTCTGGGAGCTGACCTTGTTTGTGAAGACAGAGGCAAAAAAAGCATTGAGTACATTAGCTTTTTCCACATCCTCTGTCACTAGGTTGCCTCCCTCATTCAGTAAGGGGCCCACACTTTCCTTGACTTTCTTCTTGTTGCTAACATACCCGAAGAAACCCTTCTTGTTACTCTTAACATCTCTTGCTAGCTGCAACTCCAAGTGCGATTTGGCCTTCCTGATTTCACTCTTGCATGCCTGAGCGATATTTTTATACTCCTCCCTGATCATTTGTCCAATCTTCCACTTCTTGTAAGTTTCTTTTTTGCGTTTAAGATCAGCAAGGATTTCACTGTTTAGCCAAGCTGGTCGCCTGCCATATTTACTATTCTTTCCACACATCGGGATGGTTTGTTCCTGCAACCGCAATAAGGATTCTTTAAAATACAGCCAGCTCTCCTGGACCCCTTTGCCCTTCATGTTATTCTCCCAGGAGATCCTGCCCATCTATTCCCCAAGGGAGCATGACCTCAGAGAAGTAGAGATCAGCCAAAAATGTCCACATTTGTTTATAGAACGATAGGCACTGGTTTGAAACACATCATTTTAAAGTAAAGTGATCTTTCTAAAAGGTAGGTGGTATTAATATTTTTATCATATTGCTTTGTTCAATGATATTTAGGTTTGTTTTTCTGCTTTATTTTCTTTGATTTCCTCTTTTTCTAAAACCTGTAAGCATACATAATTATTCTGATACAAAGGGGCAGCAGGTTTTTTTTTTTAATTGTTGCTTGTTCTTAGACACCTGTTCTACCTCTGTCTTCCACAGCTAGCACTCCTGTGCTGAGTGTGAGGATATGTCATCATATGAGTCTGATTCTAAGGTTGATCACATGAGACAGCAAGTGGAATTTACCATTCAACCTTTTCCCCCCCTGTAATCTCTCACACAGTGGTGCACAATATATATATATATTTCATTTTCAATGGCAAAAACTGCTTTAAATTAGTGCAAATTAAAATTAAGAAAAATCAAAAGTAAAAAGTTTAGCTGTTAGATTTGAATACTGAAAAGTTATCTTTTTTTATTTTGCTTTGTGTGAAATTTTGTGCCCATTTCTAATTTTTATTCCCATTAAAATTCCTAGAGTTGGCCAATAATTTTCTGAATTAACTTCTCAGCTGCACTATTTCTCAATGATTCCTTGTTTTTCCCTCAGTTCCCCCTAGATTTGTGGTTCAACCAAGTGATCAAGATGGGATTTATGGTAAAGCTGTAATCCTCAATTGTTCTGCAGAGGGTTATCCTGTACCCACCATTGTCTGGAAGTACTCAAAAGGTATGACTTCTTTCATAATCATTTGGGTCCGTATTCTGGTACTCATACTTCAGTTTAGTAGCATCTTACTACATGTAATTCAAAAGCACTAGTCATGGAGTAATACTGAATTTGAGTTAAGAGTATCACAATTTATTCCCCTGATATTTAGAGTAAGTAGTACTATTAAAATTCATGTGTTGCATCTGCATGTATGTGTATACATTCCTCTGTGGGCGTTTGATTGTCTACTACAGTGATTTTAGGTTCTTGAAAGTAAACCTGAATAAAGTCTCAAGAAGAAGGGTACGGAAGGTAAATGTTGCTTTGATTGCTGTGACCTTCAGAACAAGGTTCATTGGTACTACTTGGTTTGGTTTTATTTCTTTTAAAATCCATGATAACACAGCCAATCATATCTTTTCTGCAAAGAAGAAAGGTCAGATAGTATTGGCATAACCCAGTAATTCAGTATGCGCTTTACATAATGTTTTAACATTTTATTTTTATGTAACAGAGCATTAAAACTGGCCCCACTTGACCCCAGCTAACCACATGAAATTGACAGCTTTTTAATTAAAATGTGCTGCCTGCTAGATTGTGTCTTTTAGCCAATTATCTGTTAATGCTTACCTTGTGTCAAAGCTGGTGTTATTCCAGAAAGCAACTGTACTGTATACATTAGTTAGATGTTAACCCTTTACCACAGTATAAAAGAGAATACCTTATCACACCAAATTGTATGTAGACAAAAAAAATTGACTGGCTAAAATTTGGTGCTGTTTGGGGCAATAGCTGAGGCAACACTACATGTCATTTTCAGTTTAATAGCACAGTTTTGCTTTACCAGTACATGGAAGAAAACATGGAATTAATTTAAACACTTCACAATGTGCTTTTATTTTCACTTTCCATGTTGTGCTAATAAGGAAAAATCAATTATTCTGTATTCCATTTGTATTCTGAAGCAGGAGGCCAAGTCAGGCTAGCTAAATTCCAGCTAACAGCATGTAAGCACCACTAGGGTTTTTTTTAGTAGCAGAAAAGAGAAGTTTCATTTTAATGATGTTCTACACATCTAAGTGAAAATCCTATAATGATCTCCATTCATAGCTCTTCCTGAATCTTGGATGAAGTAGGTTTGTCATGCAGAACAAAGTTTTAGCTGATGTTAGAAGTGGTCAAAACTGTTTGAATTTTTGAAGTTCCGATATTTTTTTTCCAGAACAGCTCTAGCTGACATGGACAATATTTTCATGCTGACACTGTATTTTGTTATTACATCATGATTTCATCAGAAGATTTAATTAAAATGTTGTACAGATCTCTAGGCTTCACAGTCCATCTTGTCTTAAAATGGCACACTGTATACTGTGACAGGTTTGTACACAGGTCCAAAATAAGTACTGTGCTGGAGGTCTTTAGCAACAAAGCGCACAGGTACCATCAAGTTTGTAGATGCCATGTAGAGTTTACAGATTATCAACAAATCTGAAAACCAGTTAGCATCATGGCCAATATAAGGTTTCTAAAGTTAGTGCAAAAGGAAAGGCAGAATGGCATTTGTGCACAATGGGATAATGTTTGACAACCTTATCACTGCTCTAGACTTATGACCTAAGTCAATATATGAACCCAAGTAATAATGAGCAAGGTGGTATTATCCTAGTCACTAAGGAACATTCAGTCACGTCACAAAACTCAGTACACAGTAATGCACGATTGATGGTCACTGCTCAGGATGGACTTTGGCCTGGAATAGCTGGTGTTTTGCAAGTCAGGAGTGAGATGCCTTTGCATAGCTACATGTAGACGCTTTCCCAAATTGTGCCTGTCTCTCACCAGTGCTATTAGTCCTTCAGTCACTTTCCATGAGCACCAAATTACCCACAGAATTTTGGATACAATAACAAGAGAGCATCTGTGCACAGATACCTGGGCTTTGCACTGCCAATACACACAATTCATGAAGTGTAACTATTTCCCTTGCACTAACCACAAGAAAGTTTGTTCATTCAAGAAAAAGAAGTAGGAAAAGAGAAACAACATTAATGTGACTAATACAGTTGAAAAATCATTAATGACAGCTAATATCTGTGCAGACATTATCCTATAATGTTACCAAGTTCAGTGCATCTGCCTAGGTAATCTTCCATGTAACTGCCAGTCCCAAAAGTAAGCTCTTTTAGGATTAGAGAAGCTTAAATTTGCACATATGTTAAATTTTAACATTCCAAATGTTGTATTCATGAGTTGTTATAGCGTTCTCTTTCCCCATAGTATTTTCACATTCCATTTTCTTTTAGGCTTACTCAGCCCACTGCTTATAGTAATTAATGTCGATGGATATCAAATTCATGTACAGAAAGTTATATAAGAGAATCCCATTGAAAAATATATCCATGTGATTTCTCTGATAATGCCCCCTACTGCCTCCCAAATTAGACTATCAAACCTTTGGAACAGGGCCCTTGTCCTTGTAGTGTTTGTAGAACACCTAACACTGTGAGAACTGATCCTGATTTGGGCTTCTAGGCACTATGATAATGTAAACATTATATTGTAATCAACTATCTAAATGTAAACTAAATTGATAGCAATGGAAATTAGCATCCTCTGTCAACAATACAAATACTATCTATGTAATCTCGCTAAGGTGTTCCAAGGAATCTATCAACACAATAGCAAAGGGTATGTCATGTGGTCAGGTGTGTGGTTGCTGCACATGTAGACTTACCCAAGCTAACTTAAATCTAGCTAACTCAGGTACTGGAGTAGTGAAGCTGTGGCAACACAGGCTTCAGTGTGGACTATACAAGTCCACATGGGACCCTGGGTGCTTACTCGTGTGGCTAGCCTGCACTGAAGCCCATGCTGCCATGGCTACACTATTATTGGTACCCATGCTAGCTAGATTAAAGCCCGCTCAGGTACATCTACACTAAAGCTAAGTGAAATTTTTTGGATTTATAGTTTATTTGAAGAAAAAAAAAAGAACAGTTTTTGGTGAACCGAAACTATTCATGAATTCAGGCTGAATTTGTCAAATAATTTCAGATGAAAACAAAAATGAAAAAAAAAATTTGGACAACATTGAAAGTCTTTTTTTCAGTTCAGCCACCAAAATGAAAATTAATTATTCCCTGAACTACACATGCTGCAATCGCACCTCCACTTGCCGTGTAGACATACCTTAAGTGCCAAAAGGATAGACAATGGTAGTGCAAGATTCCCTTTAAACGCACTTCAGTTCTAGTCTGTTCTAGAAGGAGTACCTGTAAAAGCGAAAAGGTCGTTTAGCTGCCATATCCAATTCTTGGTGAATTTTGTGAGGAGAGCATGTGTAGCATTAGAACTGGACTGAAACCACCAATGTTGAAGTGGGACTAGAGAAGCAACGATATTCAGTACAGACTTGGGCCCAATTCAAGCAACTGAGGTACTGCATCTTATTACTTGACCCCTGATTCATCCAGTCTCTCCATTCCCGGCAAAAACGGCTTCAGCTCAATCATTTGGGATTGGAAATGGGACCTTTATTCTCTTGCATGAGCAAGACCCTTGATGTTTAATGATGATTCCAGATCAGAAACAGGCACAATAACTTTGCTACTGAAGGGTATTATGCTTCACTCGGCTGTGTGGTGGAAGGGAGTCAAAGTGTTCAGCTAAAGGGTGGAAGGGAAAAGTGGCCACATGGGCGGTTAACCAACTCTGTCTATTTGCCCTTTTCTCTTTGACAGTTGTTATATACAAGCCCTACTCCACAGAGCTGGGTAGGGTACGGCCAGAGGGACGTGGGAAGGAGTTGAGGGAACAACTACTCCGTGTGGCTTAATCCCCTATCAAATCAGCATGAAAGTACCAAAATGTAGTGCTGCCATGAGCAAGAGTAAATCCCTCTCGGCAGTTTTTCCACTGGGGACTATGACGGGGCTCAGCCAATGTCAACGCAGCAAAGGCAAATGCTGTGCTGCCTTGTTGTGTGGGAAGCCTGGGAGAAGAGCAGACAGGCTGAGATCTAAGGGGCATGACTCTGTTATTCCAGCAAATCTTTGTCTGTCAGAAGAAGTGGCAGAGTACACACTGCTTGTGGACCCACCTCCAGGAAGTGTAATTGCCCAAGGTCTTCTAGTTCTGTCCTCCTTTTTAACGTGTGAAAGGAAGCGTATGATCCTAACCCCAAGCAGATGATTCATTTCTGTCCAACCAGCCTCCATGTCTGCCAAGTCATAAGACGGATCTGAATTCTGTATTTTAAACTAGCTGTTAAGTTGAGCCTGTGATGGATTGCCCCCCTTCGGGATTCCACCTGATGTGCTGGGATACCGCTGAGCCCACCTGTTCTGCCAGCCCGGGCACCCTTTTTACCTGTCTTGCTGAGCCAGGCTTTTAAGCTTCTTCCAGCACACACACAGGCAGGGCCACACCCAAGTGCAGAACGACACAGACACTGAGATCAGCTCTAGAAGGCCTCAGCTTAAGGGACTTGCCCCAGCACTCAGGTGTCCACCTTCCTTGGAGTGCAGACCCAAAGGTATATTGTCTTGTGCTGTAGAGAAATCTATACAAAGCAAGCTCATGAATTCGCCCCCTCCCTCAATGTGGAGGAAGATATGCACAACTTCTCTCTCCCCACCTCCCCGTTAGAAATTAAAGAAACTGGGTTTAATAATAAACAAAACAAATTGTATTAACTATAAAAAGCAGATTTTAAGTGGGTAAAGGGGTAGCAAACAGAACAAGGCAGATTACTAAGCAAATAAAACAAAACACGCAAACTAAGTTTGATTCACTAAAGAAACAGGTTACAAATATAATTTCTCACCTAAATCTTGTCACAGATAGATTATAGAAAGCCTTGAAAGGCAGCTACACTGGCCTGCAGCTTGAGACTTCAGGTACTTCCTCTCCCAGCCTGGGTTCAACCCTTCTCCCTTCAGTTCAGTTCTTGATTCCAGGTGTTTTTCAGTGTCTCTTTGGGTGGGGAGGCAGAGGAGAACCACAATGATGTCACTGCCCTGCCTTATATACCTCTTGTGTATGGCGGGAGCCCTTTGTCTCCCAGTGGAAGAACACTGGCCTTCCAAGGGGTGGGTCCAGTACCAGGTGACTCAGACCCATGTCTCTGCAGGGCTTGTAGGCTGTCTGGAGCATCCACAGGAAGACTAAGCTCTTTTACAGTGCATTGTGTTTGCTACTGGGCCATTAGCCCTGTCTGGCTTTTCCATTGTTGTACCTGAAGGGCTGGTTGGGGGTGACACGCAAAGTAACACATTTGAAATGCAGATACATAGTTAATATTCCTAACTTCAGATACAGAAGTGATACAGGCATATAAATTGGTTAATCACATTCAGTAAATCATAACCTTTCCAATGATAGCTCACATGAGCCATCTTGCATAAAGTCTATCTCAGTTATGTCATATCCATATCATAAGCATATTTTCATAAAGAATATAGAGTGAAACATCACAGAGCCATTTACGCAGCTTATGACAGTTTCCATATCTGCTCCCTGATGGCTGTGCACAGTTTGGGTTTTGTTTTTGTTTTTAAAAGTTTAACAGCTTTGTTCACACCTTATTACATTCTTTGCAGCTCTGACTGAGAAAATTAACAGATTGAAATCCTTTAAATTGTACATTGCATTTTAATTGAGTTTCATTGCTCCTACTCATGCCAAAGAGTGGAGTTTGGCTACATGTCTACGTATTTGCAGATATCATAGATTTATCTTGAGATGGTTGTTTCAGTCCAAAAAATATTATTAAGCTGGCTTCTGTTTGCATAACTGATGCTGGTAATAGAATGTTTGGTATCGGGTATTAGACATCCCAGTATATTACAGTACTCAGTCTAATCTAATCTAATGCATATAAAATTCACCCATCACTGTGGTATCTAGGACCCATAAAAACAATTTAAAAAGTAACAATTATCTAAGAGCATCATACCTGTTTTGCCTGATGTCCAGCCAAGGAATGCTCTGCGCAAGTCAGCGTGGGGCTGCAAAGCTGTCCTCCACTTACATGCACACCTCAATACTGTGCCACCCCAGACGCCACAATTTGGGGAATAACACTACAGCACTGGTGAATGGAATCAAAATAGAGCAAAAGAGTGGGACTTAAGCACAGCGTAGGCCTCATGCAGACCCTGTGAGAATATGTACTATTAGAAAGGGATACCCATTAGCAAATAATAAATATATCTGAAATAAACTGAATATAATGGACACATGCAGGAGGGTGTTATACAATACTGTAAATCTAACCTTGAGAAGTAAGGATTTTCTGAAGGAGATGAATATCAACAACTCCATCTCAGCATTCCCTCATAACAGAGATCAATGAGCTAAATTCGTCCTTGCTGAACTCTCTTGACTGCAATGCAGTTACATCAGAGTTGTATTTGGTTCAAGGCCTCATTTCACTGTTGATAGAAAAGTGACCAGGGCATGTTCTGAGTGAGTTGTGCACCAACTATAGTTCTTTAATGGCAAACTGCACCTGCAGTTAGATGTGTTCTTGCACCAAGCTGAATGCTGTCCCAGAACACAGTGACTCAGAGATTATGTGTGATCAGACTGTCAGTTGCAGGAGGAAATATTCACTGATGTGCTTGTCCACATGCTACCATGAGTTTAGTGAACAAGATCCTTAAAGTCCCTTGAGCATTCCATGTTTACTACAATAGACATCCCTCGTGATCATAAGGAATTCATTTGGTATACGCATAAGGAATGCAGACTTTGTGGCTGTTCAGCTGTAATTTTGAATAATTTATCAGCCACTAAATGTACAACAAATGTGGCTTTTTACCCAGGAGCTCTCTGCAAATCTTTCTCTCCCTCTCACTCCTTTTTCCCTCCGCCTCCATCCCCTACCTTGTAGTGAATTGTAACTACAGTTATAACTGATAAGATAAGACTTTTGTTTCTTTCCATTGAATGACTTTAGTTTTGGCAAAAGGCATTCAGTTTGTTCTGTAGATGGTTATAATGCCCCAGAAAGCAACATTTCATTTTAATTGAATTTAGCCTGTAATAATAAGTAGCTGTTGTTGCTGTCTTTTAAACAAATTCTTCTTTCCCCACCTCTTCCCTGCTGATTAATCTTTTGGGTTCTGCTGTAGGTGCTGGGGTCCCCCAGTTCCAGCCCATTGCCTTGAATGGCCGTATCCAGCTTCTCACAAATGGCTCCTTGTTGATTAAACATGTGCTGGAGGAAGACAGTGGATACTACCTCTGCAAGGTCAGCAATGATGTGGGCGCAGACGTCAGCAAGTCCATGTACCTCACTGTTAAAAGTAAGAACTAAAAGCAATTCTTTTTGATCCAAAGCTGAGTTACAGAGGTTTGTTTGTTACCTCCCTGTTCCTGATAACATTGAAATTCAATTGCATATTCTTGTAACTGGAATGTCAGTGTAGCTGGGTAAGGTTTATTTAGGAGAGTTAAAAAACCGATGAAAAGGCAGAGCGTTGACACTACTTATAGTTCAACAGTGAAGAATGTGGTGAGAACATTCTTTGGGTAAGGACAAGGAATGAATAATGAAGGAGAAATACTATGAGTATCTGCTATCAAACCCCAAGATTGGCCGAGAAGAAGGATGAAGAATTCCTGGACTAATTTGCAAGGTACTGCAGTTATTATATTTATTTTAAATTGGTCATTGGTCGATTGTTTTCAGAAAACACATACATATTTACTTCTGCAAAAGATTTGGTCAAAGCCTTTTCTATCTGATCTGAGATCTTTACGGGGCTTAAACATATCTTCTTTACTGTGCGGGCAGGAGGGACAATTTTTAACATCTGTGTTTGTAGTTCTGTGTTTGTAAAGGTCCTAGCACAATGGGGCCTGGGACCGTGACTTGGGCTCCTAGGTGCTACAATAATACAAACAATACATTTTCATAATAATAGCTACACAACTTCTTTTAACGTAAACACAGGTGAGAATATAGAGATGATGATATTGTCATGCTGTCTGGAGTGGCTCACAACCGAAAGTGCCAATCTCAGGTCAGGCTGTCAGAAAACAGGGCAGACACCCCAAACTGGTGGTATGTTCTATAATTAGATTTCACCAAGCCAGTAACAAATGTGTATTCCTGGATCACTAGAACAGTCTTACCATGCAGTCACAGACAGCCCCCTTAAGCACTCCAGCCTATCTGATCACTCAGACTGGTGGATTTTGTGATACTGGTCGCTATACCAAACATCACATCACGTCAGGTTACTCCCAACCCCAAAGGGTCAGTCACTTATCCCAGATCAATGGATAGTCTCAATCTCACACCAAAGACAACGCTGACAGCCAATTTCTCTAGTAAAATAACTGAAGGTTTACTAGTTAAGAAAAAGAAATGAGAGTTATTGAGAGGTTAAAATAGGTAAAATACACTAACAGGCGAGTCTACGTTTGTAAGTCCAAAATGATAGCAGAGATTTGGTAATCTGCTAGTCTCCAAAAGTCTTTCAGGGTTACCCAATATAACTCTGGGGATCTCTGTCCACTCCCTCAGTATTTCTACTCTGATGGAATCCAAAACAGTCCAGAGTTGAAGGATCTTTCCTAGAATCCATCTTTTATAACTTCACACAGAATGCTAGCTGACAGCTTTTGTACCCACGTGGGCCTTCCTTTGAATAGATAATGAGAACAATACACCTAACAGTCCATTAGTTTTCATGAAGTTCTAACACCTGAATACACTCTTCATTTAACACACCTTTGATCTAGGGTTATTTAATTACATGGTATACATAATGTAGAAGTAATATAATAGCAAACTACAGGCTATAGACAGACAAAAACAATACAATCAACATCCCCCCCTTTGATCTCTATTAGCATACGAGTGAATTAGTTTGAACACATACTAACACTCAACCCTTCTTTGATATTCACATACAAGTGAATCGGCCTATGGTTTTGGCTAGAGCTAGTTTATCAATGTCACAGATATATTCCAGAGGAAGTCACAATGTTGACACATTTCCTCACCATAGAGAGGTACAGAAAATAGTGACACACCAGCACACACCATCCTTCAAACATTCCTTGTTGACTTATTAGAACAGCGTTGCTGGAGATCGCCAGGGACAGCATGCACTTTCATGTCTGTTGTATTTCACAGATTGATTGAATGCTTTGGGAGTTCTGGATGTCAATTGTCTTGACACAGGGGCTATCCTTGAAAGTAAAAAGGTATTTTTCCCTGAAAGGGAGGGGAAATCCAGATTATTAATTCTTCATTGGATCTGTAGTCTAGGATGTACAGTTTTTGAATACCAAGAATTGCAGATTGTTGTAAATGGATTGCAAAGACTAGTGTGAATCTTATTACAACTGCTAGTTTATAGCCTCAAACATCTTCCACGCTCTAGTTTTTTTGCCAAAAGTGACACACTGATTGGTACGAAGGAGGGGACCATTTTTCCTGATCACTGCAGAAATGACCAGAGTAATGTGATATCCAAAATTTCCAAAACCAAAAATATGAGCAATTACTAATGGTTTTCATAAATCAGGTTTTAACACCAGTTTCCCATGCTTCTGTAATTGACCATTTTTTGGACCAGTTTTCAACTACAGTAGCAGTACATTTCTGTTATACGCTATAGAAAAGCAGCTTCTCCCTTGTTGGCAGCTCTGCACAGTGCCTGTCTGATCACTGCATGCAGTTTCATGTGTGATAAAAGAGCATCCCTTATCAAATAAGAGCAGGGGCCTCCCTGGAGAGTTAGTTACTGTTTGAATCTAATGAAAACCCCTCTGGCTCTAAGATAGCAAACACACACATGCATGCACTCTCACACATACACACTCACACACATACTGTTCCCAGCATGGGATTAGTAAAGCAGCTATAGCATACACTGTTTGTATGTGGGTATATGCTTAAAGGAGATTCAGATTTAGCTTTAATCAAACATACATTAAGGGCAATCTGGTTTCTGGAGTGACATCAGTAGAATAGTGCAGTTGTGTGCCTATGATATGGCTGAATCCCCAGTTATAATAGGGATTATTATGGTTGAAATGTAATAAACTGCTGTCACTCCAAAGGAGACCCTATACCTATGTGGTGTTCTCCAGATGTATTCTATTGTTTGTATGTTGCTTTATTTTCCCCTGTGATTATTCTTGCTCCCTTTCCCACTCTGTCACACACTGGCTTCTATGCTGTAGTCCTCAGGGAAATCCCTGCTACTAGATGAAAGCCTCAGATTTCCTCAGTGAAATTCACTGTGCTAGTCATTAACTGATCCTGCATAACATGTTTGCCCAGCTCCATGTGTTCACCCTAACTGCCTCCTTTTACTCAAAGGCAGAAGGGGATAAAATATGCTACAGGTAGTGATTTCTGGGTGACAGGGTTAGAACGGAATATCCTTTCAAAAATTCAAAAAGATTAACACAAATATTTCGCTACTTATTTTCTTTGAAGATTCCTTGTGACAAATCAGCTTCCTTTCCCCCTCCCCGTATTCCTTGACACGCTATATAGATTTTCAATCTGTATACCAAACCGTAGCATCTCAGATCACTTGAGAAAGAAATAAGTGGCTTAATACAGACATAAAGTCATTGAGCTCTTGAAACCACTCTGAAAAGGAGACATAAGGGGTAGTTTCTTCCACCCCTCCTTTTTAGCCTATCTCTTGAATGACTAGCAACATATGTACACATATGCCAACCATTGAAAGTATAACCATGAATTAAAAATAATAATCTTATACACAGGTTATTTTTTCCATTTTTAATGAGTGTTTCTGTCTACTCCATTTTCTCCTTTGTCTACCTTAACACTTTCAGAGACGTCTTCTATATTAACTGAGATAAATCTCATCTTTTGGAAAGACTGGATTCTTTCCTCTTCCATCATTTCTAGTATCAAGTATGCAAAGTTATTCCCTATTTACAGTAAGTGTTAACATAAGATAAGTGTTTTTATTGGAAGTTTATAACTGGCTAGAATGAACATTTGAACTACTATACTTTCCTGGTTTATTGCCTCTTCCTCATTTTTTCTCAAATAAACAGACTTACTATGCAGTTCATATAGGCTAAAAAACAACCTTGCTAGCACCTGGTGGCAATTCCAGATATGTATTTATATTATTTAGCGCTCCAAATGGGATTTGTTGTAAGATGATTCACCTCAGACAATATGGCTAAAGCTGCATGACTGATGGAGATTGCGTAAGGAATAAGCATACAGGGAAGAGAGATGGTACCAAAGGACAGAGCCCCAAGGAAAATCAACCGAGGGTGAGGAGGAGAAAGAGCCTCCAAAGTGGATATTGGAGCAGCAGCCAAAGGGCTAGACTGAGAACCGTAAAAACATAGTCTACGCCTAGCAATTATTGTCCATCTCTTTACCATTTGATAAGTCCATCTGAAGATTACCATCGGGTATGACTGTCTTTCTGCTGGGCTCAACATATGCAATTTTCAAACTTCACATGTGCCAGGATATATAAAATGTGAAAAAACCCAATGAGAGAGCCCTGAAAGAAGGCATCCAGAAATGGACTTTTTCCAGTGGTGGTTGGAATTATGGGATTCTAAGGAAATTCTACAGAGGATAAGAAGCCTTTCAAGTTGAGGGAAGGACTAAAGTTAATTGAAGGTTGTCCAGGAGTCATAGGAGAAGAGATGTCTGTTTAAAATGGGCGCCATTCAAAAACTAACTGCACAGATTGGTTCATCTGAATCCAAACTAGAGCGTGTATAACACGTTAAAACAGTTTGGTAATAATTTCTAATGGGAGCCAAGCTTCAGTATAAAACATAGGAAGTAATCTGCGGTATGTTCCTATTCAAATCGTCAACTGGATTCAGCCATGATTTCCCTGATCCTTCCTAAATCCATCACTCATTTGCGTGCCAGCCGGGAGACTGGTGACATTTAATCTGAACACCAAAACACATCCAGCAAGACTTGTCTACCAATAAAATCACTTCATTCACTTTCCTCTCAAATACACTTCTTGACAATTTGCATTATACATGATTAATACATAAACCTAAAGCTGTACCCTAGAGTCAGACTCACGCATCCTTCCAGCATGAATGTATTAATCGCAGATAATAGTTATCATGCTAAGCTACCCCACTTTAAATATTTTAGCTAAACCCTGCTAGAGATCTGTGACAAGAGCTCAGAACAGAGAAGAAAACAGCCTGGGATAGGCAGCCTTGCCCAGTGGCTAGGGCCCTGGGTTGGGAGCCTGGGGTTCTAGTCCCTACTCTTCCTCTGACCTGCTGTATGACCTTGGGTAAGTTACTT